GCAAGGCTCAATTGTGCGTCCCCTAAAGCCCATCCCAGTCATTTTGAAATCAGTACCGTGGTCCCGATATCCCGCGCCTATCTCTGATGCATACATGCATATATACATACATACTTGTGTATATACCCTGCAAACCAAAGTTCCCCAAATCTGAACGAAATCTTTAGGATAATCTCATTTCTGTAACGATTTTTTTTACGAATCTTCAAAGAAAGTTATATGAAGTGGTTGACACCATGATTCAGTAATAAAAGGTTTGCTCAAAAAACAGCTTTCTCACTCCCTCTTGACAAAATCGGCTCTCTTAGCAAGGCACTGTGTGTGGGTTCGTGTGTGTGTACAAAGTTTTTGTAAGGGAGTTAAGGGAGTGTCATTCATTGACACGAACTCGTAAAGAAATATCTGTACGAAAAATAAAGAAAATCCTGAAATACTTCTGCAAGAAATTCGTCACATAGCAGCATTGTTTTCATTGCTTTACCGATTTTCTTCCGAAATTTCGTAAAAGAATAGAAGTGTGCACAGTTTATTTTATTTTAGAAAATTCGGCAAAAAAAATCTTTACGAATTCTTTAAAATTTCTTTACAATTCAGAATACTCTGAAAAACTGTTTTGGTTTGGAATCCGATCGCAAAAAATGCATGCAATTCGAATTCTCTAATTTTTGTGTCAAAAAAGGCATATTCTTATTTCATATTTCTTTTCACACTTATTTGAGAAATCTGATTTGCCCCTCTTACTTCTTGAAACAAAGCTCTAAATAGCAGTGGTTTTAAGCACTATATCTTCTAATAAAATACAACAATATCGCTTTAAATAAATAAATTTTTTGACATATACAATTGTTTTAAAGTTAATCCAACCTTTAGTTTGCTTTTATATCACATTTTGTAAACTTCATTATTTTCTCTTCAAAGTATTTTTGTAGATTTTGCTCTCCATGCATGACAATTTGCGCGAATCGGCTGATTTTGATGGTCATATCAAAATCACTTCCTTTTTCAGTAACGTCTGAACATAAATTTCGGAGGCAAATATACCGACATTAACCAAATTCAACACACAAAGGGGAGGGACCTACAGTTTTACGCCGATTCCGAACGGCGATTGTATTTTTATGATAAGTTGTTTTTCATGGCAGAAATACACTCGGCGGTTTGCCATTGCCTGCCGAGGGACGACCGCTGTTAAGAAAAAACCTTTTTTCAAAATTTTTTTGCGATGTGTCTTTCACCAGGGCTTGAACCCAGGCCCTGCGGAGTGGAAGCGCGCACTGCTTAGCACCACACCACAGCGGCAACATGGCCAGAATAGCTGAACATAATTGGCAAACTATTTATTTTTAAATATGTAATAATATAATAAGATTAATATAATATTTATCATATTTGCCAAATAAAGTTTTTTTTTTAATTTTGGAAAAAAATCTCCTGACTTCAAAAATAGTTTAGCCCGCTTCAAATTTGTATTAATTCCTAATATTGGTAAAAATTTGTTGTAAAATTTTGAGGAAAAAAAGAGTGCATTTTTCGAGAAAATTAACTTTTATTCTTTTTACAAAATTGGCCGCCATTTTGTAAATTTTAAGTTTTGTAAATTTCAAACGAATTTTCAATGAAAGCTGGGCCACCTATAAGAATCAAAACACAATTTTTGTTTCGTTTTATTTTTTTTTATTTTTATAATTCAAAATTGATATGTGCATATATTTATTAAAAATCGTTTTTTCCAAAAAAAAGAAAAAATACGTATCCTCTCATTTTCCTTGTAGAGTAACATATTTCATCGGCAATCAAATTTACGATGTGAAGTTGTCAGCCTGCCTGATTTGAGATGGATTTGGCCTGTTATATACATATATAATTTTGGATGCAGCTATTGCTTTTTCTAAAAGGTGCTAGTGTAGAATTTTTTGGAAAGCGTAAAAAGTGGCCGTATCATGTTTTAAGTCATCCGAGATCATTACAATGCTGCTGTGTTTTATTTCAATTCCATCTTGTCGAATCACAATTGCAGGCATTTAAGAGTTTTACTTTTAATAATCATAAATATTTTATTTTAATGACCAAAAAGCTCTTTATGAAATTTGGCAATGAATATCTTCTTTCTTCTTGAATATCTTCTTTCTTCTGAATTTTCTTCTTGAAAGAAATCACAACATAACATTCTAATATTCTTTAAATTAAATATAAGTACAAAGTTGAAATAAGGACAAAGTATCTCCAAACAAATAAATAACAACAATAAGATCCCTAGATTACTTGGGCAGGGTCGCCAAATGTAGAATCACAATTCCAGGTGTTTAAGTGAAATAAATTAATGATTTTATTTTTAATAATCAAAAATATTTTGTTTTAATGACCAACAAGTTCTTTATGAAATTTCACAATGAATATCACAAGGCGAATTAATATAAGGTGATAGCAGGAGTACAAAACAAAAATTTACATGTATTTTGTTTTTGCTTTGGCGGCATGAACTCTCAAAATCTGTAAGAGTGTGTGTAGAAATTCAAACAAAATTTTTCAATTTGATATCAGAAGCCGTGCGGCGAAACACATACACAAAATCAGCTGAGCTAGTAACACCACCTTATATAAATTCGTCTTGGAATACCACAAATTTTCTTCTTGAAAGAAATCACAACATAACATTCTAATATTCTTTAAATTAAAAATAAGTACAAAGTAGAAATAAGTACAAAGTAGAACCATTGCCAAACAAATAAATAACAACAATAACATCCCTACACATCTTTATAACGAAAAACCGAGGTGAAGAGTGTTGCCTGGTCGTTGTTCCAATGGAAAGCCTGGGCGGCATCTTGAGACAACAAAACTATAATTTTCGGCAAAATCACACTGTACGACGACGTCTCCTTCGTCAAAATTTTCCCTAGGATTCTTAAAATAAAGCGACTGTTCTTCTGCAATATAAGCATGTCGTTTCAGAGTGTCCAGGGCATCACACAAACTGCCTATAAAAACGTCACTGGACAGAAGTTGAGTGGAGATTGTGAAGCGGCCGGTGCCAAACCAATTTTAAAACTGCACGTATGTAGCATCATACGTACTGCCAAACTAATTCAGATCATACTCTAAAACTTTTAGGGTATTATAATTATACCTGAGGCTATATTAAAAAAAAAAAATAAATAAAAATATTATTATTATGAGTTGCATTCGATCTTCGACTGTGGTCGAAAGTGCTGATCGAACGAATTTTCATTTGGTATTATGGCGCTCATTCGATGAAAAATAGCGCTATTGTGAATTTCGCGCGTTTAGGTTGTTAACAATAGTATATTTTCACCGCGCAGAAGCTTTGTTTACAAATCGAGCAAACTAAATAGTGTGCTTATACATATTTATGTAAATTTGCGCAAATTAAAATGAAATAAAAAGTAAAGCGAGTTTATAAAAACGTGGTAAAAATTAGTACAACGGAGTTCTGGTTCAACGATTCGTCAGAAGGGTGAGAGCTTAGAAAAATTTTGAGAGAGTTTAAGTGTAGTCTTTCGAATATATTTTGGCATACTATATATTTAAGAAATTTTGTGATCCAAATCTATTTAAAATATATTAAAACTGTAAACAGCTCTTTCATAAGTAAAACCAGCCTTTGGGATTTTCTTTCATAAGTAAAACCAGCCTTTGTGTTTAGTATGCACGACGTTAGAACTGCATAAAATTAATAAACATTTTTTAAAGTTAGTGTCTACCCGCCAAAAAGTAAGAAAACAAATGCAAAATCATACATTTTTCACAATTTTCTAACACTTCGCTACACCAACGAAAGCAAAATTCTGTTCGACAGAAAATTCGATACTCAACGAAAATTTCGACACGCTTGCATAGCTCATAATACGAATTTCATTTTCAATCTTCGAAAGCCAGCGAAGATCGAAAATCGAATGGAACTCATAATAAGGGCCATATATATATTAAAAAAAAAATTGGTCGAAGTTTCTCAAATTTTGTTTTTAAATTTTCATTTCCGATGTGGTATAAAATGTTTTTTTTTATTAAATCTATTTCGCATTTTAAAAAGCGAGACATTTTTACACCAAATCGCGAAGTTTAAAAATTTTTTGAATTTTTTTTTTCAATACAAAAAATTACTTTACAAAACACCTAATTTTAATTTTTACTATTCTTTGGAAGTCCATAACTCGAAAAGTAACCATCATATAAAAAAAAAAACTATGTACACAATTTCATATTTCACACAGGTACAATTACCCAAAATATAAAGGAATTCTATAGCATCACCCTTTTTTACCTCCATTTAATTAGCTTGGGATGTAACTATGTAAAATGATGCGCCTAAAAGATGCAGCAATTTCCATTCTAAAATTGCGTAGCGAGTTTTAGTTTTTTAAACTATAATTTTTTCCCCTGTCCGCTTGACGCGAAATGCCCCATTTACGAGTAAGTAGATGACAGCACGCACACAAAACCACGATGTGCCATCATTATCAATTGAGTCAATATTAAATGAGACATATTTTCTCCTTATATGCAACCATTTCAGGGGGTAGCACCCCAAAAAACTAAAAAAAAAAAAATGTACTGTTACACACAAAATTGAGCGTACGGCTTTTTTTGTTAATATTCGTTAAAATTTGTTTGTTCCTTTTGTATTAAAATATGGATTATAATTTAGCAAACCCCATTTAAATCCAATAATGAAACCGTGTACGGAAGTTACGAAAAATCTACAAAGTTTCAGCAAAATCGCAAACATTTTAGTAAGAATTTCTAAAACAATTAAGGTATGCAGTTTCATAGCCCATCAAATTTTAGTGTAATAATAATAAAATATAAGCCATATTTTAATAAAAAATTTAAGCATGTTAAACATTGCGAATATTAACATAAAAAAGCGTTCGCCCAATTTTTGTGTATTTATCCCGAGCTTATTTAAATATTCGTGCACTTAAAAACAAATTTGCTGTACATTTTTATCATTTTTCTATTTTTCTTTTACTATTTTTTAGCTTTTTGTATTATTAAAAATAAAAAAATTATATTTTAAATATGCTACGGCATAACGCTTTCGCCGACTTGCCGACATATAAATTAATCCTCGGCTTTGGTCTATGCACTTTGGGTGGCGCTATGCTATACGCTTACTTTAAAACTCGCGACGAAGACGAGGATGTGGCACAACAGAAACCAGGAGTAAAACAGAGAAGAGGAAAGCCGGCACCAACTAACTCTCCAAAACAAAAAGGAAAAGAGATACAAATTAATTTTGAGATATCAAATGAGCACATACCGCTGTGTGTAGGTCGCGGCGGAGCTAATTTAAGCTCTATTGAACAACAGACACGTACCAAAATTCGTTTGAAGTGAGTTCTTCTTACACAAAAATTTTTCTACTTTATTTATACCTAAGAATGTATGTGTCTATTCAATTATAGAGACAAAAATGAGAAGTACAAAATCTGTGATATAACTGGTGACGCAAATGGCGTCAAACAAGCGCGTTCATTGCTGCTTAAAGAGATCGAAAGGGCGCCTATTATCAAGGAAGAAATCTGGGTGCCGCAAAGTGTGTGTGGCAAAATTATGGGACGATGTGGCGAAGCAATGCAAGAAATATGCCGCATCTCCTTGGCTAAGGTGGCTGTGGATTCAGGCGGGGGTCGTAGTGGCGGAGCTAAGGACAGACGTCGCATTCTTATTACCGGCAACCAGCAACAGGTGAGACAAAATGTTTTTTGTAATTACATATGTAGGGACTTTAAAACACCGTTCTGTAAAAATAGATATGCACTCCATTCTTACTGAATTTTTGTTTTGCAAAGTTTAGTTTAAAATTTCAAGCCTCACATGAACATATAATTCATAATTTTAAAAAAATTTCATACTTTTTGTAGGTAAATATCGCCCGCAAATTGCTTGAGGAAAAAATTGAAGAGGACGAAGAACTTCGTCGGGCCGTTGAAGAAGTTGAGCACCGACGGGAACCTCGGCGCTCCCCTTCGAATAGCATAAATTCTAGTATGTATTCTTCACAAACATCATTGAGCTCCCATTTGCTGCCTCGTGAAAAAATGCTCGCAGCTCGAGACGAGGAAAAGCCTATGGAGGTATACGTTTCTGCTATTGCTTCGCCTTCTAAGTTCTGGGTACAAATAATTGGCCCACAATCGAAGAAACTGGATGACATGGTCCAATCAATGACAGACTATTATAGTGAACCAGAGAATAAGGCTCGCCATCAAATCCAAGAACCGTATCTAGGGCAAATAGTAGCAGCCATATTTAAATACGATGGGAAGTGGTATCGTGCAGAAATTGTTGGCATTTTGCCAAATCAATACAACCCAAACGAAGTAGTATTGGACCTGTATTTCGTTGATTACGGTGACAGTGAATATGTATCCCCTCACGAAGTATTTGAGCTGCGTACAGATTTTCTGACTTTAAGGTATATTAAATTCACACAATTCATGTAGTATTACCTTTAAAATTACATATTTCAAACACAATAGATTTCAAGCAGTGGAATGCTTTTTAGCCGGAGTTAAGTCTACAATATTGAATGATCCAGACACTTGGGAAACACAATCAATTCAAAAGTTTGAGGAACTTACCCAAGGCAAGTATAAGGTGTATACACTTACCTTATTCCCTTTTTACATGGTTAGTCGGGGAATTAAAAAAACACGTGCGAAAATAATTTTTTTCCGAATCTCCTAACTTGTTCGATAAAAAAAATGTACATATGTATATAGTAAAATTTCGAGTATGAGACAAAATCGTGTAAAAGGAAAATGAAGTATATTTGAGATATGATTATAAGCAAATTAATGTTTATTTTCCTGCAGTTGCGAACTGGAAAAAATTAATTTCCCGCGCTGTTACATACAAAGAGCGTCAAAAGGCCATAGTCGATACTGCCCCAGCTCGCGAGAGTTCACCTATACCCGGTGTTGAACTTTTCGACTTGACTGAAGGTACAAATTAAAATACTCTTGCTGTTTAGACATATATAATTGTTATCATATTTCCAGGAGTAGAAGTCAATATTGGCCACATGTTAATTTCGCATGGTTTTGCTTTGCCTGCTGATGACATTCCGCGACCGCGTTCCCCTTACTATGCTGTTGGCCCGGAATCATTGGCATTTGATCAAACCAATTTAAACTCGCCTCAATCTCTACGTCGTAACGAGAACTTGTCGATTAGTAATGGGAATTTAAGAGCAGCGGAGGATTCCCTTCTCGAGGAGCAGTTGGATCACTTGAGAATCAACAATAATTTGCATTTAAATGGCGCTGGCGATGCGCGTATTGCATCAATGGCAACAGAAACGGCATCTAATCTAGCCAAACTTACCGCTTCCGAGCTCTTTAACGATAATTTCGATGAAACATCTACGAAAACGTCAGGAAATGGGAATCGCCATATCAATGGAAATTTAAATCGATAAGGGCAAATTTAAGGATTCCTTCTCATGTTACTACCTACATAATAGTGTATCACCTTGTTTTATGTTTAGTTCTTTAGTGGGTATTCTTGTAAATATTTAAATGATACGTCTTTTAACCAAAACATGTCCTTTGACGCATGTTTATTATCGACATTTAGTTGCGTATTTATAAAAGATTGTTTAAAATATCCTGATAAAAATTTTACTTCTATGTATGTTTGCATATAATATTTTATTTTTTTCTTAAATGACTTTAGTTTAACGAATTTACTTAATTCATTGGAAAAAACATTGTAATCAAATTGATAACAAAATTGTATCTAAAATTACAGGCTTTCGCGAAAAAATTGAAGTTGTTTTAGTATATAAACCTGAAAACGATTTTCAAAAATGTATGCAAAATAATTTATGTACATATGTATTAAAAGGGCTGCAAGAATCAACTCATGAATAAACTCGAGTCTAGCGCCGCTGTTGAGTTGAAACTAGTTGAATGCAGATACTAAGAAAATATGTGAGTTCTTGTCTTTCACTAGCGGATAAACTTGTTAATTCATCACATAAACAAACGAAACTCACACCCACACCACCAACCACTGCTTCGCACGAGGCGATTTTGCGTTCAACTTTTGCGTTCAACTCACGCAGGGCTATTTTGTTATTTTTAGCCATTAAATTTTTTTTTCGTGCAACCCTGCGTGAGTTGAACGCAAAATCGCCTGGTGCGAAAGGCCTTTTAACGATCGATTCAACTCAACAGCGGCGCTAGACTCGAGTTATGGGATGAATTCATGAGTTAAAGCTGAAATTAGTCAAGAACGCAGAACGTATACTTAAACGCAGTCTGTATACGCAGAATTTTGTCGATTACTGGAGCCCTCAGTGTTGCTTACTACAGTGTTGCCACTCATCAATGCCTTTTCATAAACTTACCTTTTCAACTACAATTTTTCGTGCTATAATAGATCGTAGCTAAATATAAACTACTTAGTTTTCAACAAAGAACCTTATTCAATAGTAAATTTCAAATATTTTAAACGTATTTTGAATAGGACATTATAACTTTTTTACCATCTACAAAACTGACGAAGTGGCAACCATCTATAGAAGGAAGAAATCAGCTGACACGGAAAAATCTAAATTCCGCAGATTTCTGCGCTACGGGCTACAACTACAGAAAAATTCTGCGGTGTTGAGTTTTCATTTACATGGCGCTCTGGTAAGACAGATCGTGTCAGCTGACTCGGCTTTACGTACCGGTAGGTTTACGTTCTTGACTAATTTCAGCTTAAAACTCTTGCAGCCCTTTAGTATGTATCTATATCGTTTTGGTATGCGGAAAATATGTGACATAAAAATATCGTACAAATTACATGCACACATATTTGTATACATATGCCCGAGCATATACAAAATATGTACATTGGCTTACATTTGGCGAGCCCGAAATAAATTTTCTATTTTAATTTCATATCAAATTTAGATGAGATTTAGGCCCCTATTATGAGTTGCATTCGATCTTCGACTGTGGTCGAAAGTGCTGATCGATCGAATTTTCATTTGGTATTATGGCGCTCATTCGATGGAGAAAACCGCTATTGTGAATTTCGCTCGTTTAGGTTGTTCACAATAGTGTATTTTACACCGCTGAGAAGCTTTGTTTACAAATCGAGCAAACTAAATAGTGTGCTTATCAAGGAATGAAACCGAAACCCAAACCGAAAC